CCTCCCCATCATCCTACCCATCTCCTACCCTGCCCTCCCTCCATCATCCAATCCATCTCCTACTTCACCCCTCCCCATCATCCTATCCATCTCCTCTGCCCCCTCCCCATCATTCCCTTCACTTTTTACTCTGGTTGTCCCATCATCCTACTTATCCAGCCCAACCATTACGCCAACCTTATCCAGCATTTCATCCACATTCTACATACTTGTACCTTGTCCCCATAAGCCTCCTCCTACAGGTACCCCCAACAAACATCCTAATCTTTTACTTGGAGTCCCCCCCCCACATCCCTTACATTTTCCTCACATGCTGTACTTGTACATTTGTGTGTGTCTAAACACTGTCAATACACACATGTACATGTACATGTACATGTACATCACAGGAGTGCTCAGTAACAGGTACGTATGTACTGTATGTACTACAGGGTTAGTATTCAATACAACTCAAAACGTTAACATCCAACTTTTATAATTTTTTCATTAAATTCATTAATTTCGTTAATGCCATATGAAACTATTTAAATACAGATGGAATTCCAAGAGGGAGCAAACAAACACTCAGTGGCACATTTTAAAACCTGTGGACCTGCAAAGGAGGATGGACGGACAGAAGACGGAAATCGCATTTGCTTCGCAGCTCTCCAAAAATGAGTACATGTACATCATCAAAGTTGACATTTTGTGAGTTTGAATGCTTGCCCATTTTGACATAATTCTCGCCAAAGCATTCGCAAAATATCACTTTTCAAATCATTAAAGCATTAAAGCAGTGCTTTTTCGGGGAAACCTTGGTTTCACAATCCAAATTCTTAGAGAGAATTGAACACTTGTTTTAAGACGAGTGGCAAAGAAAAATCAATACACAGATTTCAGAGAAGCACTGACTAGAAATGCAAGAAGACTTACCAGTTGATGTACGCAGGACTTACACCTCAGTAAAGATAGATGGTTTGTCCTGACAACTGAATATCCCTCAAACCATCGGCACCCAATTTTCGTGTAAGAAATTTAAAGATGTCTGAATTTCACATGTGTGTTTAGGTTTCTAAGGTAAGTCCGTGCATGTATCATAAGAGGAGCGTCTATGGATGCATCAGTCAGATTGTGTTCTGCTGTCGATGTGTGCTTTGGTTGTGGTGTGACAAGTGATACGGAAAATTGCCGAGTCAACAAAGTTATGACTCGGGAAGAGTTGGCCGTTATTAGCTGCTGCTTAATGAGGCAGTGTTGACAGTATTTGTGAGCTCGAGAATCACCATGGAAACCGCAATTAAGACTTGCAATTGCGGACTGTCTGTTCCGTGGATGATGACCTGACCATATCATTTCTGGCTAAAACTGAAAAGCCTGAATGAGCATTGCCTATAGTTTGAGTAAAAAAGGGAAAAGCTTGTCATTAAGTACGGGTGGATTTTATGAAGGTAATTAGAAGGACTTTTTCTGTGTTTGCACTAAAATTGTCCAGAATTATGGTTTGGTTGGCTATTAAGCCAGAAATCGAAGTTTACTTGGCCAACACGGTACATGGCCTGATGTAGCACTGTACCCTCAGAGTGTTGCAAGGTATTATTACGTTGTGGTAAGAAATGCACAAATATCTTGCCGATGAATCTCGAGTGTGAGTATTTATGGTATTTTGCTGTATTTGGGAAGTTGACTGTGGACAATATATTGTAAAGTTTATTTGGATTTCCTTGGAAATTAATGAAGTATAGAATGTTATTGTAGTTTGAATGTGGTGCAAAAAGATTCACCGTACATTTATACATGCACGCTGTAAAGTGATGTTCATTCCATTTGATATAAACGCCACCTGACTTCTCCGCTGCCGTTACTTTGTTAACCAGTTAAAACTTAGTTTCACTCTTAATCAGTACTGACAGAGTGCAAACAAAATGATCCCGCGGAATACTAAAAGGATTGAGTATTATTTTGGGTCTAATCAATTACGCACGTATATATATATAAAGGCAGGCGGATGTCTTGTTCAGTCTACAGTAACATTTTCCCATTGTTAACTCTAACAGCGCCCAGTTATTTTGGACCATCTCGCTGCGTGGCAGGTCCGTCTCCCTCTCGAAGAACTCGGTTGTCGCGTTCCTGATTTCTTTTAAACTCGGCATGCCTGTAAAGACACTCTGTGTTAGTCCAGTTGTGAAGTTCAACTTCGTGCATTCCCTTCGTGCATTGAGCACGGCAGAGGAAAGCCCACATTTTGGGCTGACCTGTCTCAGGAAAATGGGCACTGCACGAGAAATGGTGGTGTCATCAGGATAAGAAAATGGTACTATATATTTCTAGGGAATTAGTTCATTTACCTCTTGATAAAGCTTGTAAGAAGTGCTCAATGTAACCTTCAACCTAAATCGTGGCCATCAACGTTTACATTGAGAAACCGTTTGCCCCTCCCCGCGCGAAGAACATATTTGCCCCCGTTACTCAGTGCTAATCCACCATTGTTTACCTAACCATACCAGATGACTAGAACAAAACTCTCTTGTTAATTATCTAACACCGTTTATGCCAGCAGCCTGGGTTTCTTCTCAAAGCTATATTTTTTAACAAAACTTATCAACTATCCCATTGGAATGGCATTATCTTGAATGTTTACTCTGTGCAGCCTTGTCAGACACCGGGGAAGCATCGCCTCCCTTACGCCTCGTTGAAACTCCTTGTACCTGAAAGCGTAGATTATCGGATTGATCACAGAGTTAAAGACAAGGAGAATGGAGTACAGCTGGTTGACTATATTTGACACACCGCTGCCAGGCGTGTCAAAAAACAGCAGAAATATATTTGACAGGGTCACAGTGACCCAGACAATAATGTAAACGACCGCCACCGTCAGCAAGACGAGGGACACCTTTCGCTGAGCACGGTTCAAATCCTCCGCATGGCCGGCGTTAGCCCCTCGGTGCTGGCGTGCACTGCGGTGCAGGTTGATCATAATCCGGCCGTAACAGTAGAAGAGACTTAACATTGGCAAGGTGTACACAGCCGTTAAGAAAACATAGAGTGCTGTAACTGTGTTCTTGCGGAGAGTGAGATCTTGCAAGCACCCTTCCGAGTACGCAGTGGTATTTGGCAAGAATATGTGAATCGAGGCGAGCGGTGCCGACAGCAGCCATATTCCAGCTATCACCAGCTGAACCCTCCGACTCGATAAGTATCGCGGATAGTGCAGCGGGTGCACAATTGCTATGTACCTCTCAAAAGTAACCAACACCATGGACGCGATCGACACGTTCACCATGAACCAAACAAGGAGTAGGTTCTTAAACAACACACAAAGGAGTGGGTCTTCTATCTCGTTTGGGGACTGAATAAAATGTTCCTGGAACGCTAGAAAAGTGGCACACACCAGCAGGTCAGCCAGGGCGAGGTGTGCAATCAGGTAGTTGGTGGTGGTATGCATGAACCTGGCCCGTATGATAGTCATGCAGACCAAGGCATTTCCCAGAATGCCAGTGACCACCAGGGTCATTAACACTGCAAAGCCCACAACTCCATTTGGAGGGTATTCTGCTGTCAAATTGTTCGCTGCTGACATTGTGTTAAAATATATCTGTTGGTCAATAAAAAAAAATTGGAGAATAAAAAGAGCAAAACAAAACCAAAGCGGAGTGCTTGGTCGACAATATAAAAATTGAAAAAAAAGGACAAAGGGTGACACCTTCACTTATATTCAGACCATTTCGAAGTGACATTCCTTGAAATATGGTGACAGCTTCTTACGTATGTGTGCTTCGGTGCCGGCAAAGTTATAACCCAATCATGCTTGTAAAGTCTGAAGTTAGTATGTCTCCTCACAGTAAAAAATGAGTAATTTTCTCACACACAATGACACCCTGCATTTACAAAATTGACATTTTGTGAGTTGTTTTCCCATTTTTGACATAATTCTCTCAGAAGTATTCACAAAACATTGTATTCAAATCATTAAAGCTAAGCTTTAAAAAAGCACAAAAACTTGCAAGCTAATGAGGGTGATAGAAAATAATGTGCATGGATTGATAGAATCGTATCATTTTGTCCTGATTTTGGTAAAACCTAAATCAGTAGCCTAGAAATAGAGTCAGGTACTCACATTAGTAGTTTTTTTTTACTTCTACCTCTGAGACCTGGGTTCAAATCCCACTTACGGTTTTCAGTCACTACCTGACTTTGTGCCTTTCCCCTAAAATACCATTTTATGAATTTTCCTTCCACCTGTGGAACTGAAAGTTTCGTCTTCGTCTCCTTACTGCAGGGTGCCCATGGTCCACAGTGCCTGTGCTCTTTCGAGGAAACCTCGGTTTCACAGTCCAAATGTTTTCAGAGAATTGAACACTTGTTTAAAGCAAGTGGGAAAGAAAAATCAATACCGTCAGAGATTTCAGAGAAGCACTGATTGGAAATGGAAGAAGACTTACCAGTTGGTGTACACCGGACTTACACCTCAGTAAAGTTCGATGGTTTGTCTTGTTGACTGAATATTCCTCGAATCATCAGTATCCAGTCATCGTATACGAAATTTAAAGATGTCTGACTTTTTCCTGTGTGTTTCTAAAGTAAGTACATGCTTGTATCATAAGAGTAGCTTCTATGGGCGCATCAGTCAGTTTGTGTTCTGCAGTTGATGTGTGCTGTATAGGAGTGGTGTGACGATAGGGAAAATTGCTGAGTCATCATCATTACAACTCAAGAAGAGTTGGCCATTATTAGCTGCTGAGTGATGAGGCAGTGTTGGCAGTCTTTGTGAGCTCGAGATTCACCATGGAAACCGCAATTAAGACTTGCAATTCTGACTCTCCGTTTAGTGAATGATGACCTGACCATATATTTTTTGGCTAATATTGTCAAGCCTTAATGAACATTGCCGGCAGTTTTAGTTAAAAGGTAATAAAGCTTGTCATCAATTACAGGTGGATTCAGTTACGGTAATTGGAAGACCTAACCACTTCATTTCTTCTTGTGTTGGGCACCTGCCAACTTATTTGAACTTTGGGATCTTTGTTAAGCTGCATGGCCAATTATAGCCAATTTACATCCGTCTGTATTGTTTAATGGTGAGGTGTTTATATCCGTCAGTAGACTGTAAACAGTCAGGTTTTTGCTCCCCAGTTACCAGTGTTTTGTACTTAAACATTTCATCCAAAATAGTCGCCATTTAAGGGCTCATACAATTTAACCTTTCTTATAGTTGCAGTACTGTTTCTGTGTCTGCGTCTGTGTCTAAAATTGTCCAGCAGTGTGAGTATTTTGCTGTGATAAATTCCATTTTTGGTCAGACAAGTAAACCAGAAATCAAAGTTTTCTTCAAACACGGGACAGGACCTGGTGTAGCACTGTAGGCTTAGCCTCATAGTGTTGCAAGGTATTATTTGGTTTTAGTTTTGATAAGAAGTGAACAAATATCTTGCCGATGAATCTTGAGGGTGAGTATTTATGGCATTTTGCTGTATTGGGGAAGTTGATTGAAGCATCTAATCTACTACGTTTATCAAAAAAGTTTTTCAAGCTTTCTTTTCTTTCATTAAAGAGCATCTGAGAAGTCTCTGAACGTCTCCAGGGACAGCTGACCAATCACATCAGCGACCATACCAGGCACTTTGTAGCCCATCAGCTGCCTCCGTACATACAAGATACCTGTCAAACAAGCCCATTTGGTGAGTACAGGCCTTATGTCCAAGGGGTTATCTTCAGTTTTCATCATTTCTGAACATGAAAAATGACAGTCAACCGTCATTTTTTAACGTATGGGCTACTAAACACATTAATCCAAAACATATCCCAAACAGTATTCAAATTCGGATGAATTTCCCAAACTTTCCTGGTCCATCAAGCACAGGTCCAGTGCCACAAGGAGTCTATTGCTCAGTATGCTGTTCCAAGATCTGGCATGCCCTTCCGGTTAAGTTAATTTCTTGATGATGCTCTGCGTGACCATCTGATTTGTGACCTCCGTAGTGAGTACGTGCCGAACATCTTGTGACGAAAGACAGACTCATCCTCCGAAATCCCTTGATCTTGCAAAATCTCAAGAGACAGCAACCAGAGATCTCTATAACATCAAAGGGGCACTTAACAAGACAGCGCAGTTCAAACGGTGCAACCCTGACTACGATAGAAGACCCCCAACAAACGCCCGACCAAGGTTTGCCAGTTCAAACCTATGTGTGAGCTGTGAGTGCACCGGAAGATGACGCTGAGTTCGTCGGCTGAATATCCAGCAATAGTGATCATACACTTCGTGGCACGAGGGTCTTCGAGATTCACGAGGGTCATCGAAGAATGTCTGAAAAAAACGACTTCGAGCCAATCCAACTGGGGTCCTGCTAGGGCGAAGGGAAGATGTACCTCATGGTGGTACACTAGTATTGCTGATGGATAGCTCTGCATCACCTCCACACGACAACAACCAGATTCGGTGATTATCTTTATACGGGCAACATTCGCTAGATATGGCATTTTACCGCAAGTGGTGAGTATACTGACAACAGTTTTTGGTGTGAATTCGACCAATTCGCTCGTGAGTAAAACTTCCCACACATCACGCATTATATACCTCCCGGGCCAACGGGCTAGCAGAGAAGGCTGTACACATTGCTGAGAGATTGTTGAGTCAAGATCCTCCAGTCCAAGCGCTTATGATGTACTGGTCTACACCTTTACCAGCCTTGGTCGTACCCAGGCAGGTCTTCTAATGGGAAGAGAGATACGCACAACGCTTCCAAGCCTATCTCACATTTTCCAACCCAAGACAATACTTTACGAGAGGCTGAAAGCAGCGAACGACAGAAATAATCAGAAAGGGGGACAACACTTCAAGAAAAGACATTGTGTGGGAGATCTTGGTTCTTTCGTGCCTGGAGACCAGGTCAAGATCCGAACAAAGGACAGTCGGCCCAATAAGAGAGGTTGTACACAGTGCTGGAACTCCACGGTCCTACTTCATCAACATAAGTATCACTGAGTACCGTCGAAACAGACGTCATATTCTCCTCCCCAGGTTATCAAGAAATTTAATGCTTGATGTTGAACCAACAAGCAAGGGGGTGGAGGATCCCAAAGCAGAGGAAACGCAACCAACTCATGTTACCAGAGCACGAGTTTGGTACCAGGACAACATCGTGCCCCGATCTGCCACAAAGTCCAGCCACGACGCAAAATTGGATTCTTGTTTGTAGGCAATCGGCTGCCTCCATTCAGACGAGATGGCAGCCAAGAAAGCCCATACGGTGGGCACATGCCTTTTGGTTACGGGGTCTCCTGTACACTTGAATCAAAAACATATCGCGCACAGTATTCAAATTTGGATAAATTTCCCGGAATTTTTTCTAACAAATAGAAAGAAATTTCCTTATCTATCAATCACAGGTTCCATGCCAACAGGACTCTGCAAAGTAAGACCCACGTATCCTCTTCACACATTTGTGCATAAAGTGCCCAAGTGTGAGGATGTTGGGGATAAAAATAATGAAGATGGAGGTGATGAAGAGGATGAACAGTGAGGAGGACTCAATGACAGATGCCACTAAACAGCAAAATGCAACAAAGACAGAGCAAGCTCGACGAGTTACGTTGTCGTTCATCACCCGTTGGCCAGTTCACGATCCAGTCGCATGATGGACAGCTGCAGCACCAAGATAAACTCATCCTTTTGTTCCATTGTCGTGAGTACATTTTGTCTTAGCCCCCTTAAATTAAGCATCCACATCACAGAAGGTTGTGGAGGATGCTAAACACTAATTTCTGGCTTCACACTTGAACATAGCAGGAACTTCTGGGAAGTACGAAAAATACTGATGATAAGGCCAGATAAATACTTCTCATGATTGTAACCTGACGAAAGAATTCAAACTGCAGTTGAAACCCCACACAAACGAAAGCTATACTTTCTCGACCTTGAAAGCCTCAAAACATACCTCTCCTTTCACCCATCTTCCACCTTAACTCCCTCACAAAATCATTTGCAAACCCTTCACCTGTAGAAATCCTGTAAAGAACTGGACTGGCTAGAAAAGCAGGCAACTTGCTCTTCTGGAGGCAGACATCCAGGATCTTTAGGGGTCTTTGCCGAGGGACTACTTGAAGTCTTCAAAGAATAAACAGGATTTAAAGGGATTTTGAAACTGCATATATGTTGAGTCCTGTTCTTAAAAGGTCTAGAAATCTGGACCATCATCCTTAATATATCTAGAACATTTCGTCCTTATCCTTGAAGGATCAACAACTTGGAACCTCATCTCTTGAAAAGTTCGAAAACTTTGGACCACTATCCTGTGAGGTTCTAAATCTTTTAATCATAGTCCAGGCTGAAACTCCCCTTAGTCAGGAAACCTCTGAAGAATGATATGCATCCATATCTGTGCAATCGTTTTTAGTGACATGCACCACAAAATTTACTTTAATTAAGGTTGTTAACAGTCACTCGGATTTTTGAATTATGTTTTGTCACTTCTGACTTACGTTGCACATCTGCTTTGTGATATACTTGCATACATTCAGGAATCTAAAAAAATGAGATTCCAACCACTAACGCTATACATTGTTTTCCATGTCTTATGAAGACACGGCTTCATCAATTTTAATTTCTGTTTACACGTATTTCAATAAATAGACATTATCTACTAACGATATGCCGTGGTTCTTAATTTTGCTTGGATTTCCTTGAAAAAGAGAGGAGAATGTGTCTATTATTGTTCAAAAATGGTGCAAAATGGTTTGTGTTATGCACGCAACTAGTTTGTACATGTATTTCATTTGAAACAAATCCCACCTGACTTCAGTTGACTTTGTTTTTTAACCAGGTTAACACTTGGCTGAACTTTGAATCGGACTTTAAAAGTGCAAAATAAAAGTGAAACTTCCTACCCAACGACACTTACCTTGGTTTCAAATGCCATATACATGTAATAAGAAAACAACTATTTGGAGCCCAATAAGTTATTTATTTGGATGTATATACACTGTAGTCAGGTAGATGAGTAATTTACAAAAATGATTTCACCGCCATTTTAACATTGGGCAATTTGTCTTTACCGTAAAAGAAAAATTTGACGATCCTTCCACAAGTACTTTATGAAACTAACAGTCAACTAACCCATCCCTGCTCCCCTTAAAATGAGAGGGGGATTTGGGGGACTTTTTATTACCTTTCCTTCCCAAAACTTATTATAAGCCACCTAACCCCTAACAAAGCATAAAAGGTTCGCGTTAAGAACTTTTTTGCCGCCACCCGCAAAATAAAATGTGGCCCTCTGAAAAATTAGTTCTGGATCCGCCGTTGTTTACACATAAATCATACCAGACGACCAAACCGAAGTGTCTTGCTCATTACCTGAATTCTCAGTAGTAGAAGGCTCGGTTTCAAGACTTTCAAAAACTATCCCATTGCAATGTCATCACCTCTAACGCCTACTCTGTGGAGCCTCGTCAAACATCGCGGAAACATCGCCTCCCTCACGCCTCGTTGAAACTCCTTGTACTTAAAAGCATAAATTATCGGATTGACCACGGAGTTGAAGACCAGGAGAACTGGATACAGGAGTCTGAATATCTCTTGCGTATTGCAGTCAGCTACTTCGTTGAATAGGAGATACAGATTAGAAAAGATGATGGTGAACCAGACAGTGATGTAAACTACCGCAACGATCAGCAAGACGATGGCCACCTTTCGCTGCGCTCGTATCAGGCCCTCGGCGTGGGCTTGGTTGTTATCCTTTCGATATTGGCGCGCTTTCCGGTGCAAGTTGACCATAACCCGGCCGTAACAGTAAAACAGAATCAACATTGGAATGACGTACAAAGCCACGTGGAAGGCATAGGCTGCTTTGAGGGTGTCCAACGGGACAGTCAAATCTTGCAAGCAGCTTCTCATGTCGGCAATAGTCTTAGGCACAAAGATTTGTATCGAGGCGAGGGGTACCGACAGCAGCCATATTCCAGCTATCCCAAGCTTGACTCTCCAATTCGATAAATAGCGCGGGTAGTGCAGCGGGTGCACAATTGCTATGTACCTCTCAGCAGTGACCAACACCATGGAGGCGGTCGACACGCCGACGGCGAGCCAGACTAGGAAATGAGCTTTAAACAGCACGCAAAGGAGTGGGTCATCCAGATTAGATGGGATGAACCTTTTCTGGAACCCGAGGAAAGTCGCACACACCAGCAGGTCAGCCAGGGCGAGGTGTGCAATCAGGTAGTTGGTGGTGGTATGCATGAACTTGGCCCGTAAGATTGTGAAGCAGACCAGAGTGTTACCCAGAATGCCTATGACCTCCAGAGTCATTAGCACTGCAGAGACCACCCCATTCGGGGTGCCCTCAGCCGTTGAATCGTTTGCTGCAGACATTGTGTTAGCGTTAATTACCTGTTGGTTTAAATAGAGAAAAAAACAAAACGAAAAAAATTAGTCGACGGAAAACGGCCAGGAATAAGAATTGTGAACCAAGCTGCAAAATTTGTTATACAGGAATGTTGGTCACTTTTTTAGTCCCAGTCCAAAATGATATTCTGTTACTGAACATTTTAAATGAAAAGTTTAGAGGAGCATGCTTCGTCAAAACGTTTGAAATGTAGTTAGAGTTTGACACATCTTTTATGGTTGGGTCTGCCACACAATGGGATCCAATTCATTTTTGTCCATGTTACAACTGGCGTATGATTGTGTAACTTTCGAAAACATTCTAAATGCTTTTCTTCCCAGCCACCTCTTGAACCGAACATTTCTTCATCTCACTCAAGGGTAGTCATCGAGCCTCATCAGTTCCATAAAGTGTGTCTGTGTTCTTTTGTGGATCCCCGTGTTAATTTATGAACTAAAAAAGTTTGTGAGAAGTGAACATTCAAATGAATGCTGCGAGTGTTAGGAAAGAAAATCATTTTGGCTGAAGAATTGAGAGAAGCAAGTATGACTTGAAATGCAGAATACTTACCAGTCGGTGAACATAGGATTTACAGCTCATTAAAACTAGACGGTTGATATCTTGGCAACTGAATGTTCTTCTAAGCATTAGTATCCAGATTTCATTCGGGAAATTTAAAGATGTCTGAACTCTAGCCATATGCTTAGGTTTCTAGATTAGGTACAGCAGGAGTAGCTTCAATAGATACATCACTCAGGTTTTTGCTCCGATGTCGATGTGCGCAGTGGGGGTGGTTAGACAAAATTAATGACAGGGAAAATTGCTGGTTCTCTATTCTGACAGCTGCGCTTTGATGAGCAGCCAGCCTTTATTAGCCGCAGCTTGGTGAGGCAATGTTGACAATATTTCTGCACTCGGGGTTCACCGTGGAGAACACAATTCAGATTCCGCCTGTCAAGCTGCCTGTTCAGTGAATGATGACATGACCGCATCCTTTGCATCAGCTACAAAGAGAAAAGCCTGCTTGAGTAACAAGAGAAGTACTAAAAGCTTGTCATGATTAATTGACTGTTATACTTAGTGCGTTGATTAGGAGGCCATACCACTTAATTTTTGTGTCGATCTTGTTGGCATTTTACCGTATACGAGTTTCTGTAAAAACCAATCTCAGGCGGGAATCCTTAATACATGTATGCATTATATGGGCCATTTAGCTATGTGAAGACAAGTTCGTGTTCTATTATTTTTTTTTTTGTTTCATTTCTCCTAGGTAATTTATATGCAACATTTCACCAAAACTGGAAACTCCATTGGGAGCCTATGAAATTTGAATGGAGCTCTTGCACATGTATGTACTCTCTTGTGTTTCATTTAACCTGATGTTCAATATTTATCGTGCCATTTCGAGAGCATTTTGGTACTATTATGATTTTTGGGCGAACATGCTTTTGTGCAAGATTATTTGCAAAAGAAATTTTTGCGGAAATCTCTTCTCTATTGTCACGGGGGGTACATAAATTTACACTTTTTTGTGCACACGGTGTTATCTTTTTCCATTTATAAAAAACTCAGAAAGGGAAAATTCTTAATTCATCAATCCCTTTAGTATTTTGTTTTGCTTAAAACATGGAGGGGACACTCGACATTGTGTCCCCCGTACCAAATTCGGGGGGGGGGCGTGTCCCCCTTGCCCCGGGATTTCCGCCATGTGCATCACATTGTTACTGATGTATAAATAATAACCCTTACGGGGTGTCATCTTTTTTTATTATTGCTTTAACTGTTATTTCATTTATTCATTTTCTGTTGTTTGATTGTCGGTTTTTTGGGGGGGTTCGATTCTGATGAGCCAGGTGAGGGGTTGACCCTCAACCACTGTAAGCCCTCAGGCAGTTTAAATCCCGCAAAGGACACGACTGGCTACAAGTCGACTTTGCCTTCCAGAAGCAGACGACGTCACGGACCGTGTGCCTGTGGGCCAAGGGACTGATTGGAGTCTCCAATGAATAAATGGGGTAAGCTCTCGTCTTTGGAACCTTCCTGGAAGGTTAGTACTTTCCATCTTTATGCCAATTCATACAACTTTTGATCCTTACCCTGAAAGGTTTCACACTTTCCTGAAAAGTTAGGGTCAGGAACTTTTAACCATTCTCCCAGTAAGTTCTAGAACTTCTTAACAGTTCTGGAACGTTTTACTTCGTCGCACTACTACTAGATCATAAGTGGACGTAGACTGTTCTGAGAATCAAAGGAATGAAGGAATTCTAAAGAATACCACAGCTGTTCCTGTTACAACAGTGACGAGTTTTAGTGACTGTATATGACTTTTACTCATACTTTCGGTATGTAATTAAAAAAATAAGTACAACCAATTTGTCTTAAGTTCAAGCAAATACTTCATACTAAGGTAATATACACCAGAACATTCATGTGATTTATATCATACTTTTAATTTGATTCATACAGTCTGTTCAGATACCATGGACTTCATTTGCACATTGCATACCATGCTGAAATATCCTTGCAGGTATACATTAACGAATATTCAAAAACGGAACTTCAACTTCTGTACACTATACAATGTTTTCCATGAGCATGCATGTGGATTCATAAAGTTTGAATTTATTATAAACACATATTTCAATAAATAGAAATTATCCAATGAAGGTATATTGTGTTTCTTTAGTTTCAGTGGATTTCTTGCATAAATTGGTGCAATTTAATTTGATCCTTCCCAAATCACTTTCACCTCTATCAGCATTCTGCATACTCAAAAGATAATACGTAATAAAAAAACTATTCTAAAAGTTTTTTGTTTGGTTTTGTTTTGCAACTTGTCTTTGTTCAACTGTTCATCTTGGCTTATTCTGGTGTACTGCTTGATACAACACACAAGATTATTTAGACTTCATTTCTATCTAAATCCACCAAAGTCCATCACATTTCGTAGATTTAGGACTTGCCAAATTTCTCCTAATTCCCAGGGCATCTTTTGTTCAACAACTTAAGAGGCATTATCAAGCCTCAAGTGAAGTAACAGTTCCTGGGTTGACCTTCCACAATCTTCCAAAACCCATCAAAACTTTGTGGATGGGTTTGATGGAATCAAAGATGAATAAGATAAATGGAACTCCACATGCAGCAAACCAAAAAGAAGATCTTGTTTAAAACAAAACATTCTATTTGAATAGCCCAACGGCTCTGTTTAAATTTCCCTTAACATGTTTTTTCATAATTATAATATGTGTCATAAAATGAAATTAATTTGGATATAATCACATGGACATGCCTCCATGGGCTGCCACTTCTACAGCTTACTTTTGAATCTTAAATCTGACAGTCCATGCCAATACCTTCAAATGAGGCAACAAGTTAAGTTCACAACTTTTACTTCTGGACAATCTTCATGCAATAGGCTAAAATAAAATGGCCTAATTCCTAATTGTAAATAGAGGGAACTTTGGATGTGAATGTTCAGACCTGTCACTCTGTATAGTCCAAAAATGCCCTGGGGCATAGCTACGATTAGGAACCTTTCATTTTTAACATAGCAAGGCTCTTCTCAACCATGCCAACGTTAAATACCAATTGTCAACAGTAAACTTCCTGAATCTGGTGCCGTCCAAACACATTTATGAATTGTAATGTCCTCATACAGAATGAGGACGTGACGTCTTCACACACTGACACCGTACTCACACGTCGGTCACCGTCTTCAGCATCTCGGGGGTGACAGGCCAGACGTCCGGGGCAGACAGTTTGGCCTCTTCCTCTTCATCCGTGAGTTTCTTGGGCTTGTGCACCGTCATCTTGTGGCCGGTCACTCGCAGGAGCTTGAGTTCTACTGGACCCAGGTTCAAGTAGTCCTGAGACACAACAACAACAAAGTGTGCCTTGCAGAGTTACAGTCGAGTCAGTAATGAGTCAAGTTGTGAGCCCAGGTCACAAAGAACAGGGAACGGCTAATGACAACATATGCCTTAATAGTCTGGATAGCTTCTAAGGTGGATTACTCTCTAAATTACAACTCACGCTTGCAGTCATTCTATGCCAACAGCGCTACCTCAGAAATTGTGCACTGTAAATGACATGTCACGCTGGCAGTCATTCTATGCCAACAGCACTACCTCAGAAATTGTGCACTATAACCCTTTTGGCACAGAAGCCTAAACTGGAAATATTTATGTATTCAGCATTGCCAATGTCCTTGTTTTTTCTCGTCAGATATGACATCTCTTTGACGCTCTCACGATGAGATTCTATCTACAAGGTGAATTTTCAGCATGCGGTTTGGTCATCAGGTGAATTCAGTCAGTCTGAAGATATTTTAATCAAAAACACCAAAAGAACTGGAGCACAAGTTTCCACACAGGAGTACGACTATTCAAGGTAGGACATTAATAAATATTGCGAGATACCAAAGCCCTAGCCACAAATACCTGATTTGGACGTGGCTTGGCTTAACTTTCATAGTATTAGGAGCCACTTGCCTCTATGCGACAGCTTTGAGTCCAGATGGACGCATGAAAATGAGAAGCAGCCCAGGCCTGAACTCTCAGCTCACGATCTTCTGTCTGTACTGCAGTTCCCAACAGAACAGTCATCTTAATGATAACCGCAGCGCATAGAGCGAAGCAAATAAACTCACATCAAAGTTTTCGTCTTCGTAATCCAAGTAGTTGTCCAGTTGGTTGACGTCGGCCCAGCTGCCTCCCAGATCTTCCTCCCACTGCTCCTTGACGGCAAGAGAGAACACCTTGGCCTCTACTGCTCTCTGGGTGGCGCTTTTCGGACGCGGTGCTTTTGCTGGACCTACGCATCGAACGAGTATTTCGACAAAGGAAGCAAACAGAGATTACAGTTTAGAAATGGCATATGAGATGGAGACATTAGTTACTTGCTGTGAGAGTCGGGCTTTACGACATTACATCGTTACACTTGATGATACAGTTCTTTGGTGGTAATTTTGGGTCCTCAGGATTTGTTGTTTGTGGGTTTTTTTGGTTTTTTTTTTTTGCTGTGTTTCCCGAGTCGTCATCGTTTTTTTTGTTGTCGCTGTTGCAGTCACTGTTGTCATATTTTGGTTGACTTTGTTGTCGGTTTGTTTTTGGTTTTAATTATTTTCTTTTTCCTCAAATTTTTTATCTGCTTTAAGACAATACTAGGGACCCCATTGGAAATAAGTTGCAAAACTTTCATGGGCTATCCCTGGTATTACCTAATATTTGAGTGTACTGTGCAATTCTTGTTCATAGCCCTTTTTGTAGTTTAAATTATTTGTTACTGTATTTCTACTGTGAGGTAATACTGAATAAATCCAATCCAATCCAGTCAAAGAAAGTAACAATTTGATGTCAGAACTTTAATCCCCTGGATAGATATTTCCACCAAGATTCACTGAAATTATGCAAGGGCTTCGTACAGTGTGGATTGGAATTGGAGTTTTACTTGTAATAATTGCCCTTGCGCCTTTAACCTGATCGTTTGGGCCTGGATTTGGAGAATCTCACCCTGTGTTGCACCCCCAATCGCCAGGGGTTTGTCGGGACTCTCCAGGTCCATCTTGCTCAGGTCCTCTTCCAGTATTCCCCCGTCGTCAATGTCCTCTCCCTCACCAAACTGGGTCAGGTAGAAATTCCTGCAGCCAGAAATCAGGACACTCAAAATTGGACATGCTCGATCATTGACGAGCTACCTTCGAGGGATGACTCAGTTAACTATCTGCTCCGAACAGGAACACGAGAGGGCGTTTTGCTAAGTAACGATAGTTCTTTCCTGGTAGCTCAATTGTGAGCCCATCCAGGTTGATGTACGTGTGGCTCAGGACACACTGAACACAACTAATTTCTATTTGAATGTGTGGTCATATCACACTAGGCCTTCTTTCTTGCCAGTGAGGGTGTGCTTAAACTCTGGGCAGACAGTTAAGCGACTATCACTCAAATGATTGATGGTGGGACTCTCTAGTAAGCCATTTGAAGCCACACCCTAGGGCACGGTCGCATCGTTGGTTCTCAACAGCCTTTGAACCAATTCAAAATGACATTTTAGTGCAATTGGTGAATCAGCAATGGGACGTGCATTTATCCAGCCTCAGTCTGGAGTCTGTGAGCCCCCGTCAGTCGGCCTACCTAGAAATTTTGAGGTCCTGGATGCGGCAGTCAAACAACCTGCTCATGATCTCTAGGTTCTCCTTCTCCAGCACCTCTACTTCCTCCACCAGACGCTCAGCTTCCACCCGATGAAGCTCCGCCTACGAGCGAAACAAAAATATCCCTCTAATTTTTCTGTAAAACGCACCTGTACAAGTGAACCTCAAAGAAGTAACTCCTTTAAGAAGTGAGCATCCCTTCTATTTTATAACACAACTTCCCCCCTACCCAATATGCCCTAAGTGGGGGCATGTGCTTACACACCAACAGGCTCAAGTGTACATGTACATGTACGTCGATGCACAGGTGCTTGCCATCTGGAAGTAGTCGGCGGTCACGAGGTCAGCCGACATCTAAGGTGTTGCATGATACGGCAGGTGTTTTTAATTATTTTGCTGACTAAATTCAAAGTTGATATTCCTTTCAGTTTCGTTTGAATATCTACTTTCTGGATTAGCTCTAGTCGTTGAATTGATCTACTTATATTGTTGCATCCAAACTTATTCACCCTTTAAAAATGTGGCAGTTTGTTATTTTGTTAAAATATATGAACTGGACTGGTGGTCAACCCAGGCACACAAAAACAGGTCTTTCCTTCACAAGAGCTCATCTGGGCAAAGATCTAAGCTTTTGGTTTTCAATTTCTATGGTCCTTTGGCTGTAAATTCTACGTTCCCAAATTTGGAATGGGTATGAATAATTCGGGGCTTATTTGCAGCTACCTCTTTCTTCAACCACTTGTTGTCTTTCACTTCTTGCGTGCTCCATTTGTCGAGTGTGGTCATCGCTTTCTGGTGGTGGACAAAGAAACCAATTTACTATTTCAGATCATAACTGGTCCTCGAATTACAAACGCTTTGCGTTGTAAGTCTGAATACATGGAATTCGTAAAGTCCGCAGACAAGACAGTGAGGACATGCAACACAAGGAGATAGACTTCACTTTTCCCACACTCCTCTGCAACTGCACCCAAGGAAACACCTGGTGCCTCATCTCTTTTTCTACTTATTCTCGCCACAGTCATGCCACTGGACTACTCGATGCTGAATACGATGTAATGTACCAGTCTAGATTGAGGCTATGAGTCGATACTGTTGAAAGTGTTGAAGAAAATTCTTCTCAGAAACTGTGAAACTGGATGGAGACATCGTGCTTGACTTGTGAAATAACAAGGATCTTCCTTGTCAGGAAAAAATAGGACAGTTTGTCAGCTGAAGAATGAGTAAAGCGCCTGGCCTGATTTTGTTCAAATCATTCTTACTTCTGATGCAATGTGCTTCTGTTCCATCAGTCGCTCCTCGGTGGACTTGTGGATTTCATCTTTGGCCACGTTCAGGGTTCTCTCTAGATGAGCTTAGAGATTGGAGAAATGTGAACAGAATGAGAACAAAATACACTATTAAAATTGTGACCATCTCGGAGGACACATGTGACAAGTCTCCCAGTGTAACTTCCTTCACACTGGCCACTGAGAAAACCCTTTCCTTCAAAATCAATGTGTTATTTTCAAAGGGTTTTGTAGGATTGAGGACCACTTCTGTCAGCAAAAAATATGCCACCATTCCTGTCTGAATTGAAGTCACAAACTAGTCAAATGAAAGGAAATACGAGCATTCACTTTGTCATTTAACTTGTGAGTGGCCTTGTGACTGGTGGTCTTATGACTGGTCTCGGCACTGGTCTTCTGGCTGATTTGTGAATATTGTCTGATGGTTGTTCCGGTGTCCGGTCTTGTGACTGGTATTGTGTCTGGTCTTGTGACTGCTCTTGTGAATGATCTCATGCCTGGTCTTATGGCTGGTCTTGTGACTGGTCTTGTGTCTGGTCTTGTGACTGGTCTTATGTCTGGTCTTATGGCTGGTCTTGTGACTGGTCTTGCGTCTGGTCTTATGACCTGTCTTAGGGCTGGCCTTGTGACTGGTCTTGTGAATGATCTTGTGCCTTGTCTTGCAACTGGTCTTATGGCTGGTCTCGTGCCTGGTCTTGTGACTAGTCTTGTGTCTGGTCTTGTGACTGGTCTTGTGACTGGTCTTGTGACTGATCTTGTGTCTGGTCTTGTGACTGGTCTTACTGCTGGTCTTGTGACTGATCTCGTGTCTGGACTACAACACTGCCTGTCACCTTTCATTTCGTCAAAGCTGACTTGCATGTCCAAGAGCTCCTGCTCCAATAACTTGATGTGCTTGGCGTGTTCGTGCTGGCCTTTGTTTCTGTACTCCTGCCACTTGGCCACCGTCACTAGTTCCTCCTCCAGCTCAGCCGCCCGCTGAGCGATCTCCCCCTTCAGGTCTGCAGACCAATTAAACCAGAGTCAAGGCTTTCCTGAGCATGCACCGTGGTCCGCATGGAAGGTATGTATCCATTTGAATGTATATGAGTGAAATATGGCCAAATGATGCGCATACTGAACAGACCGAAGGAGCAACAGAGGGAAAGGGACCTAGGCCTTGTCAGGTGATTTCTTGGAGTACATGTCTGTTTGAGATCAGGTAAGGACAGGAATAGACCTTTTTGCTGTGTGGTCATTTTTGCCAACTGGTGGTCGGCAATCTACTGCTGGCTGTCAGTGCAAAAGAAAGGGAATAAATCACGAGATAAAGAGAAAATTTCCAGTCGTTTTTAGACTCTGAAATATGGGGCAAGTACAAGTGCCGACTGCAGTTAACCACACCTCGACCAACATTGCTTGATGCATTGGACCATCCTGGTAACCATTTGGAACCAGACTGCGGGGTATGGTTGCACCACTGGTTATCAATAGCCGATTGCATTTATCAGTGTGGAGGGAGCCATTCACTTTAAACAAATTGTCTGAGATGTCATTAACCATGAACGTCACAAGAGTTGCAACCAACAACGAAATGTGAGTAATGATGAGATTTATGCCGTGAGTCAACAGGCATCCGAGTGTATGGAACTGTTCGGCATATTGTTATAAAGCAATGGTGGTCTGACTATAGTTTGCACCAAAGCTTGCTCATAACTGGCACCAGAAAAAGTCGGGGCAGTGGACAAAGCAGGGACAGAGGTAGATAAATAAATAAATAAACCTTCGATCTTTTGATCTTCTTCCTTGGCCGCCTTCCATTTATCCTTGAGGGCCTCCTCGACGTGCTCCTTGTTGACGACGGTGACCTGCTCCAGCTCCTTGTCTCTCTCCTTGGCCTGCTTGAGGAGGGTGCTGATGTGGTAGAGCTGCTCCTCCTTGAGACGCTCGTTCTTTGGGAGGAAGAAGATTTTCCAAGATGTGTTGAAATCACTTTGGCAGGTCTGAAGTCACAACTTTACAGGCAATTCATCCGGCTTTCAATTTGTGTTCTTTTTCTTGTTTATTTGTCTTTTTTGTTTCGGTGATTTTAAAAATGTAGTGGTGCCAGCGACTAATTTTTTATGTAATAATTTATGATCTATGAACAAAAATTGTATAAAAATAACAAATACAAAATTCTTCCATCTGTTTTACATGTACTATTATTCTTGATGGGGATATTCCATTTGTTTACCAAGATGGATAAAAAGACGAAAACGAAGGACAAATTCTGGAAGGTACTTTACCCTTTCTTTGTGTTTTTGGTTCTTTTCTTCTAGTCCTTTGATTTCGTACATGAATTCCTCCAGCGCTTGCTCCTTGATGTTGATTCTGGATTTAATTTTTGGTAAAATAAATAACAAATAAAGCTCCTACACAGCACCCTTTCACCTGCATATTTAGCAAAACATAATTAGGAAACCTTTAGTTGTTTCTGCTGGACCCGTTAGATGCGGTTGATGTAGGTAACTACAGATATTCTGTGCCAAATTATTCAATACATTTTTTATAACTCAGTCAGGTTTTTTTTATTCAATCAAACTGCGGCAATGAGGCGACACATTTGAAGTATAGAAATTCTCCACAATTGCCGGGGATGGCAGTGAAGCCCAGCATACGTAAAGAAGTCAAATTTTGAGGCTGGATCTCAGAAGTTTATAACAAATTCAAGGCAATTTGGGGTGCTATCAAACAGATCACATTGCATATAAGTCAATCCTGTAAGAAACATCACTCTTCACTTCATCCTTACAAAAGCAGTCTTACCCAACTGTGAATTAGAAATACGAGGTGATGGGCTCATGGGAGAAGGTTCAAAAGGTCATGCCACAAGAGTGGGCAATGCTTGAGTCAGGGTTTCATCTGAGATTTCCAAACTATCCACCTGGCACTTTTTCAATCTATTTGTCAAAATTCCACCCGGTGTGTTTCATACAAGTCCATTTTGCATAGGGGTCTGTCCAAAAACACATCCAAAAGACAGGTGGATGAGTCCCTAGAATCTAGAATCTCAACCGATCACATCATGGCTGGAGCGATCACGTAGAACCTACAGATCAAGTGATCCTGCTGATCGATGGCAGCTATCGGGCAATTACTCTGGTCAACTGATTGTGCCCACTTACTGGTATGCTAGGATGGCTTCTTGGATCGTCATCTGGGGCTCAGAAGACTTCTTCTTCCCTCCTTTCTTCCCGCTCTTCTTGCCACTTTCTTTCTTCTTGCCCTTTTTGCCCATGCTTTCTTGTCACTGCAGACTTAATAAAGTAATAAAAATGGGTCCAGAATAAAATTATTCTTCTTTTTAGTAGGCCTTGGCCTGAATGGTTTGTGCATGCTGGGCATGATACCGCGATCTCCATGACCGGTCACTGTGCTGTTGGTTGACCTGATGGGAAATCTGCGTTTTCATTGTGTAGGCCTACTTACTTGTAGGGCCTACGATCTAATCAACCTTTTGATTATTGCACAGATCAAATGACTCAATTAAGTCCAGCGGGGAAATTATGAGAGCACAACATGGCCAAGATAAGTCCTTTCACACAGTGGAGATTTGTAATGTGTCCGAAAACTGGGTCCAGCATTCTATCACCCCTACGCCGGTGTTCAAGTTTTGAGGCCGTAACTGCAGATTCAACATCAGCAGGCCGAGACCTAGGGCTAGGCTAACCCTTTATTTTTTACGGTTCTCCCTTCTAATATTCCTTGTACCTCAAGTTTAAAATCAAAGGAATTTTTGGAAGCTGAGGTATAAAGAAGGACTTACCTTTACTTAGTGGCAAAACTTTCTCTCATTTCCATGTTTTTCCCCCAATTTCGAAGATGGCCAGTGTCATGTAGGCCTGTACGATACGGTAGAAAGCTTCTTTGGTTTCCAAGCACCAGTCAAGTTTTTACTGACCTCGTGAGGGCGCAATTTACATTGAACCAAAATGGCAGCGCCCTTGTAACTTGTAGTAGGCACACATATATTTTGTTGTTGTAATTTCAGGTATATTTAGACTACAGCGTCCTACATATTTTGAAGAAAATGGCGGTGTTGTTAGAGACAACTCTGGGAGACATTGTGATCGATTTGTATCCCGAAGAAAGGCCTAGATGTGAGTAAATGAATTACATGTTTTGACTGACTCTTCAGGCTCTTACTTAGGCTAAGCCCTACTTAATCTTGAACATGTTAAACGTTACGGCTTACGCATGCCGTCGCGTTACGTACAATGTACATCGCGTACATGTAGGGTAGGGAGGCTCATGAATTTTTAAGCTATTTCTTTGGAAAGAGATTCATATACGGAAGCCAGTAATTCTTCCCTTCAGAATGTTAGTCATCAGAAAGCAAAAACATGCCCAGACATGCCAGACAAGTTCAGTTTAGCCTTTACTAAGGCCTAGCAAGTACTACATGTAATTTTAAGTAGCATACCTCAGAAGGAAATAAATCAAGTCGTTTACTAAAACACTTAGGCCTACAAAGTCACTCAGAATGTTTTTAGACCGGTCTCATAGGGTTTGTGCTCAGGGTGTGAAGTGCGTCCTTATATCACACTGTATATTTTATATATGGAACTCTTTCTATTTGAGGTGATTTCTTTTGTTTTCTTGAAGTGGCGTTAAAAGGGATGTCATAAGAAACATTTTGATTGCCTCAAAATTCCAAAATTTCCAAGAGTGATGAATTAATGCAAATTATATGCCAGACAAACAGTAATAGTTTGAAATCAATTCTGGTGATATTTCCATGTCAAAGAACAAAGGACAGATGTAACAGGCACACATCAGGGACTGGCCTGATAAATTTGAAGTGTTTTCTGGATAAACACCTCAATATTTTCCTTTTTTAAATTTGACTTTTTAGGACATGTTATCACTTTCTGATTGCTAGTAAACCACTGCAAGGGAAAATGGTGTACGTGTATGGAACTCTTACCCATGTACCATAGCTAAATACCTCAACATGTCTGAATCAAAATCCTCGTCTTTCACCCCAAAAATTACTGAAACTCTCTAATAGAACCGATGTAGGATTCAGTGTGAATCAAAGATTCTAGCAATGATGGTGATCTACCTTTGGGAAGAAAAGAAAAAAATCCTGTTAAAGTGAGAAATCCTCCTGGATGGGTGTAGTGGGTCTAGGTTTCAAACACTAATCACAGAAAAAAATCTTGAGTTTGGAAATGAACAGATTCCTTAATACATGTATGTGAGATGAAGCAATATTGTGCATGAGAGTCACTTTTTACATGTACGGCAACCGATCACCAAAAATATGGCGTGCATGGCAATTACATTACCATTTACATTATCAATGAGACAACCTTAAACTAGTGTGTTACATGTCATCAGCTGGCTTATGGTCAATAAAATCTAAAGGATGTGAAAATGAAAATGTTTTCTTAATGTTCTCAGGTTGTCTCAATTTCTTGAAGCTGTGCAGGATCAAGTACTATAACTTCTGTCTTTTCCACTCCGTGCAGGTAAGCATCGGAGTAAACTATTAAGATTTTTTCAGCCATTGGTGAGTGCATTTGCTGTTCACCTGTTTGGTAATCAACATCTTCAGCTTGCACTATGCCAAGAGGCACCCTCCTCTTTTTTTCATTTGAGAGTGGGCATGAGGTCCTGCTCAGCCTAAGACATATCTCGCGATATGTCAAACGTTGTAAGCTATTTCCGCTGAATGAAAGAGATTTATACCATCTATGGTAGTATACCTTGATGAAAAAGACCACTGTATATGGATGAGACCATTCAGACGTTGTCAATCTCGGCAAGAAATGGAACAAGATGTTAGGAACAGAAGAACCTGAATAAGCCTGTTTAGACCGATTAAAGTTTACTTGAAACAGCCCCTCGTGGCTATTAGAATATTTTATGAAAGGAGGAACAGGGAGGCTGGTCATCGCATTTGTTGTTTACTTGTTGGGTACTCAACGTCTTTCAGCTTGCACAATGCAAAGAGGCACCCTTCAGACTCACTGTTTTTTAATATTTTTTTTTTCTGATGGTCACAATTGACAGCACCCAGAGTTTTTCATCCAGACTATTTGTTTTGCTGTATTTCACGGCTATACCCTTGTAACGGGGAGAACGCAGATTCCTGACACCACTTTTTGAAAAACCAGATCTTGAAACATGTTGAACTTTACAAGAGCATAAATGTTGGGCCCAGATCTTTTTATGTAAAATTTTGTCAGAAAAATGAGGACGAAGTTTTACAACACCCCGTAGACTTTGTGGTGCACAGCCACGAAATGGGTGTCTGAAAATGCATCAATTCGCAATTTGCACTCACACGGGTGCTTTCTTGAAGAGAAAATGTTCAAGAAAAATCTAGAAGACGGTGAAAGATGCAGATTTTTTAAGTTCCTGGTAAGAAGGCTCATTTTTGTTGCTTTTCACATCGCAGAGGAATTTTATGGCCCAAACAGGAGATCCCACCGGCACGGGCAAAGGAGGTGATTCTGTCTTCAGGTAAGTGAACAAATTATGCCAGCCCAGCAACAGCATTCACAAATGTAAATTTATCAGGTCAGATTCAGTTGCCTCAAGCCATAGAAACAGTTTTGCTTCCTAGTTCCTTACCAATGTGAAATTGGAAATAAAGAAAAGTAAGGCCATTTTTAGTTTGAATATGATGCGATGCAGAAATATGCAGCATGCTTATCGACGCATGCAGCTAGTTAGTACCCTTTAGATTGTGATATCATTTGAGTTTTTATTCATTTTGGTCCCCTCGAGTTCAGAATCTGCATAATCCAGTTCTTCCCCCCCCCACGGACTAAAAAGAACGACCCTGTTAGACCTTGAGATCTGGAGGTCTCAACTGGTTACTTTGTGGTACAGTACATCTCCTCTGACTTGTCCTCAGACTTGTGTAGAGAGAACTGTTGGGTGATGTAGGCCGCACCAGCTGAAAAGGGTGTGACCAATAGACCCCAACGATATTGTACTTCAACGGCCAGTTGTGTTTCACTTTACCACTGATGAGAGGACATTGTACTTCCTGCAGTTTAACTGTTCCCCAGTGTGCCAGGCACTGGCATTGTACCACTGAGGACTACAAACTGACCACCGAGGACATGGTAACCTCCCTCGCTCCCTTTGTGTTTGGTTCTGTACGGTAAACAGAGACACATTGGCATTTAGCTCTCGGAATCTCCGAGCACTGCAGTGCAGGGCCCAATTTCACGGCACTGCTTTACTGCAAGCAAAAAATCGGTGCTTACCGTTGCTGACAATTCTGAGCTTACGCCGAATGTATTTCACGGGTTAGCGAAGAACTTTGGCTTGTACGCATGTGTACATCCCGTAACTAAGGATTCTGTGCCTAAAAAAGTTAGCGCAGAATTTTTCTGCTAGCGGGGTTAGCACAGAATAGAGATCGAAAGCGCGGATTTCTGCAGTAAGCAGCGCCTTATTATTGGGCCCTGATCTGTGTGAAAACAGATTGAGTGCCGAGCATGATCATTTGCAATGACGTTTGCTTACATAATACAGCAAGCTTTACGGCGACCAAGCCCGCTTCTTCGAGATGGAGACGGCACCCCGCATCAAACACACCCGGCTGGGTGCTGTGTCAATGGTCAACAATGGAGACAACATGCATGGATCACAGGTCAGTTTAACCAAGCGAAGAGTGTGCCAGATAAGTGATAAGTTTTGCCGGCTTGAGTCACAGCGGGAAAGTGATTCAACTCACCTCAAAAGTAGATAGCCTGACGTTTTGATCCTAGGAGAATCTTTCTCGAAAGCAACAAGGGGAATGCAAATGAACCAAATTCATGCGTCTGCCGGGTTCTCTTTTGCTACATGCAGTTCTTCTTCACCCTCGCGGAGAACCTTGACTACCTAGATGGCAAGCATACAGTGTTCGGCGAAGTAACCGAGGGGTTGGATGTACTGACTAAAATCAACGAGGCTCTGGTTGACAAGGAAAACAGACCCTATCAAGACATCAGGTCGGTTCAAGACCCAATAAATTTAGAGATGGTCCTGGATGAAACCCTTAGGAATTGAAATTCCAGTCTTGGAATCTCGTCAGAAGAGTCAATGTTGTATTCAGAGTATGCCGCATGATGTGTATCCATTTGGACTGGCAGGTTAAAATCTTAGCAAGCTGGGTGGTGTTTTGGTTGAAACATCTGCCCCAGTAGGTGGGACGTCACAGGTTCGAAGCCCATATGAGCAAGCTCGTGACCTTTGCTCATGAATGTGCTGTCACTGAGAACTCTGTGCTTATAAATATCACATCCCGGAAGTGTGAAACGTAATATTTAAAGTGTGTATTACCTGACGTGTGACAAATTTATGTGACATGCGTTTTCATATGGCAAACATTTTACAATTGAAACATTGAGTAGGTGCTTATGTTTCATGTAGGGACTTTGATGTTTCAATAAAGATCTATTAAAAGAACAGAATGTCTTGCTCCAAGGTACAAGGCCTTAAAGTGTATGGGGTATTGCAACTTTATAGCTGGACAAACCAGCCCCATCCTCATGGATGTAGAGCTATGTCCGCAAAGATGTCAACTGGAGTGACTTACTTCCAAGGAAGATTTACATCAGATAACAACAGGGGATGTAAAAAGTTTACGTACACTCGGTCTGGAAATGTTTAATTATAATTATAAAAATCCCTAACCCTACATTGTACTACAGATTACTAGTTGTAGTAAAATGTAGTATTCAGCCCTGCCGCTTGTAAGAGGACATGACCTTATTGTTCTCTGAAGCCATAAAATACAATAGATAAGACAATGTACCATACAGTGCTGTGGCACTATGAATGCATGGCTTTATTGTTCTCTGTACGAGTAACAATGGAAGTAACCTAGCCAGAAGTAGTAATCTGTAGCGCTAGGTCCTTCAGGCTCAGGCTATTACTTAGTATTTTGTAGTACTGAGTAGTAAATCGTATTGAAATTGGGGGATTTGGGACTGCTAGGGTTAATCCTTTATTTTTAAATTCAAGCAAATAAAGTGAATGTGCTGCTTGATCCTCCGCAGAAAAAGAACGGTTATCAAGAATTGATAACCGTTCTGTATTAAAAGACTCGCACCGCCAAGCATATTGTTTGGCTTCTCAGTACTACAAAATACTAAGTAATAGCCTGAGCCTGAAGGACCTAGCGCTACAAAATACTACTTCTGGGGGTTAGGGTTAAAGTGCAGTAGAGGCTCTGATGTAGCCAGAATAG